CCCCCCTTCCCCCTCCCCCGATCACCAGACTTTACGCCCTTAACCCGACCGCCACCGCTTTTGTTTCCTTGACTAATTGGCCCCCTGAGTTGACTTCCACAATTTCCCGGCCATTATTTTTCCTCCTCCGTCGCCTCGCCAGCAGGCAGGCCGACGTCGCCATCGAGTCCCAAGTGAAACACAGGGCGGAGGAGCGGGCTGGGGGGCGCTTAATCAGGCTGGCTTTCTCCTCGGCCCGCTTCTGCTGCTGCCGCTGGTCCGCGTCGCCCGCTCGTCCCGGGGGAAGGACAGCCCTGCCCCGCCCTGCCCCGCCCTGCCCCGCCCTGCCCCGCCCCGTCACGGCGCACCGCCTCGCAGAGAAGTCACCTCGTGACGAGGCCATAGCATTATCCTCTTGCCCCTCCCATCCTTTACCCTTAAATAATAATAATAATACGCTGAATACAGAGTGATTATTATACCGCCATTATAAACGGCCCGGCGACGGACAACGACGGCAGTCGGGCGAGGCGGGCCGGGGCGCTGCTGCTACCCCACCGAAGTACTTGCAAATTCCTTCCTTGATCCGCAGCGGCCGCCGCTGGCCTCCGGCCGGCCTGGCCTGGCCACCCTTTCCTCCCCTTCCGTGCGTCAGGCAGCCCGGGCGCCGCCCGCCCTGCAGGGCCCTGGCGTCCACCATTGTGTACATCCGGACATCGCTGCTCGGGCTCATGATGTAAAATTTATTGGGGGCTCTCCCTCTTCTGTCCCCTCTCTCCCTCTCTGTCCCGCTACTCTCTCTCTCTCTCTCTCTCTCTCTCTCTCTCTCTCCCTCTCTCGCTCTCTCGCTCTCCCCCTTCTCTCCTCACTCTCCCCTTCCCTCTACGTGGCCCGTGGCGTGGCGCAGTGTGTCGGACAGAGTGGTGTCACGGTTCCCGCGACAAGAACGCCGTCCAAGTAGGCAACCGTTCCTACTTCCAGCTTCGCCCCCCCCCCCCCCCCTCCTTTAACTGAAGCAGCAGCCGACACTCACCCGCCGCTCCCTCGGCCGGCGTAGGAGGAAGACAGGGAGGAAGAAGCGAGTTTTAGCGCGTCGGCAAGGTGCATGCGAGAGCAGCGAGTCAGTCTCTCTGTGTCAGTCACCAGAAGCACATCCGGGCCTTCGGGCGCTGCTCACATGAGTCTCTCCTCTCCACGTCCAAACACCCGAAAGGTGCGTTTGTCCTTCAGCGACCAACTTGTTCAAGTCTTCGACGGCTGGTCCTCCTTTTGCTCATGCTCGTTCATTCGTTGTCATGCAGGGTGTTTGGTTTAGGCGTGAGCCTTCAGAGCAGCACTGTCCTACCCCCGACATGTTGGGCTAGGTCACGTCGTTTTGCCTGCCTGCCGCCATGCCTGCCTCCGCGGTCACGATGTTGATCATCAGCACCAAGAGCAAGCTAGTCGCACTTGCGCCTCCTCGCGCTCCGCCCTGGACGTGGTCGTGTCGGTGTGGTGTCAACTGACTGAGTGTGTGTGTATGTGTGTGAGAATGAATTCTGATCTATTTCCTTGCCTAGACTCAGTTCTAGTTTTCATTGTTTAATTGTGTACCTTGCAGTTTCTTTTCCTAAATTATACCCCGTCTGTATGAGGTTACTTTCAGGAGCTTGATTGTTGTTTTGTTAATGCTGTGAGACGTTAATTGTTTAACCTCAGCAAATACGTAACTCTGCTTGTATAGAGATGTGCAACTAAAGCTTGGCTATTATGTACTGTCCCCGTTTATCTCTGAGATGCACTTAGTGATTTGTTATTGTTATAACTAAAGATTACGTTGCTTCGCTTGTATGAAGGTTGTTGTGCTATAACTCTGTAAACGTTCAACATAGGTTTGTCGCAGTTGCGCATTTATGCCTGTTGGTTGGTGGCTTGTACTAGTCTTTGTCCTGTTAGGAATTTATTGTTGTACTGCAAGGTTAAATTGTACTTATTGTCACATTGTTTAAAATGTTTTGTTTTGTTAATTAATAATAAAACTATTATTCTGCACTGTAGCTCCCTTGTATTTGTTTTCAATTAACTTTAAAACTATAAATAATTTTGTCCGTGTCATCTGGTGGTACCCAGCTGAACCCGTTACCTCAAGATTTGTAGATTTAAAAATCCACCTTACTTATGAC